CCCCCTGGCTACGCCACTGCAGACAACAAGAGTCGTGCTCAATGGGGTATTCTTATGGGATTAGACCCCCTCCTGATATAATGATATATATATTGTATAATAGTATAATACTATAATCACTGGTCCAAGAAATTCGTTATTTCACAAAAAGATGAAGTCAATCCCCCACCATAGAAAAATCATGAGCACTGAGTTTTTGCAGACAACACATAATCATGTAACTGAAAATGTATCAATATTAGCACGCGATGGCGGCTATATCTTCAGAAACTGTCTCACATAATACGTATATAATCCTTAAAATATTTTCACCCTGCCGATCACAAACCGCAATGGTCAAGGGCCATTCCTTTTGAGCCCTCTACTTATAATTACCTAGTCACACCGCTGTTTAAAACGTATCTACTACCGTACTACTGTACTAGTTATGTACCGACAAGAGATGGTACTTTAAAGTGGTTCAAATTGAAAGTTTTGTAGGGATAAGATGTCATAGATTTAGTTTGTTTTTGTTTTATTTAGTTTTTATGGGACACGAATTACCTATACAAACTTAAAAGTGGCGCAAATTACCAATATTAATTTTTAATTTTAGCACAAATTACATATAATATATATTCTTCTTTATTTTGAGAGGAGAGGGATAGGTTTTTGATATAAATTACATACGCTTGTATCTTCTTACTGTGGGCGGTACGAATTTTAAATCGTTTTAGGTTTTCGCATTTTATGCGATAGTTTGCTACCATAACAATTTCAGTGAAAAAAAGTAAGGACGAACAATTAATTATGGTCGTTTAATACATTTACATGAGTTAACAAATATTTGATGTTTGCAAAATTAATTTGGCGGCAATATTTAAATTAACATTTAACAGCACACCTACTGTCAGCTATTAAATTATAACTTCGTAATTGTACTGCAACTTATAAACTGCTGTTCAATTATTATAATGCGCATATTGTGTACAATTGTATTTAAATGAGGTACTTTTCGTGCCATCGTAGTCGTAAATATTATACCAAATTCTGAAACTATTACATAAATCAGGCACGCAGATTTATTATTCAATTGAATATTTGATAATACCCAACTATTATTGGAGTTTTTTGAAATTTATTTTGTTTAAGTSTTGTCAAATTAGTTTACTCTTAGCATTATATGTTGTATAATTAGTACCATTGTACCTAAATTGTTTTTTTTACATTTTACATATTATTATATGGTAATTAATAATTAAATTAAATGTCTGTTTTGTATGGCTAATGTTATCATACATTTTTTTGTGGGTTGGCTAAGAACAATAGTTAGATCATATAGGTTATGTAAAATATGTACTTATATAACGGATAATTGAATAAAAACAAAAAATCAGTCATAGTATGGAAATCGTAATCTAAACAACACATACAGGAATATTATGTATATATGTGTAATTTGTAGAATTAATATAATTAATATTATGTGTGATGCTCCACTTATCATGCTCTTGGGTACTACTTGAGTAGGTACTCGAATAAATATTTGACTTGAATATAATAGGTACAACCGTACAAGAAATATAATATTATATAATATAGGATCCAAAACGACTTGGATTTAAAAAGAAAATGTAATCAAGACCCTAACACTTACAGTGCGCACTGCTGCCTCCGAATTAAGTCAGAAAATTAAAAATTGACTAACTATTAGTCGGGTCCCAGATTGTTTAAGTTATTTGTTACCACTTTCTACAGTATAGTTGTGTACCGAATTTTTTTCGATAGTGATAATTTAAACAATACGCTTACGGCTTACACATTCCTTCTCATTCTAACAGGCTTAGGACTGTATTCTGAATTATAATATATTTTGGCCATAAACGAGGCTAAAATGACAAAATGGGTTTTCGTCAAAAAAAATACGAATTATTATTATTTTATTTTTTATAAAATAAGATATAAGTTGTTAAAAATAATAATAGGAAAGCATAGGTACATAAATGTTAAAAATACATTTAACATATTTAAAAAGATTTAAAAATCACTTGCGTGTTCATAAAATAATATAAAACATTTAAAAAAATCAAATCGTTACACGAAGTGAAATATTCTGGCTGATAATTAATAATCATCATTAATTGTTGAGGAAACGATTAAATTCATTTTGAATTACAAAAGAGTGATTTTAGAATCTGAGGGGGGCGATGAATGTATTGAGTTTACCACGTTCTGTGCGTTTTTTTTTTTTGTGTATATCTGTGTACACGATAAGTTGTCGAAATAATGCTTAGATTTTCAACTTTAGTAGTTTTTACTGTTGGAAAGAGAATCTAGTTAGGGAGATCAAATTTCGAATTTCAAATGGTTTTCAAAAGCACCGGAAAAAAACAGAAAAAAATTAAGCAAAACTGACATTTTAACGCAAAATCATTTTTTGAGAAAATCAAACTTTTATATTGGTGTAACACTGGCATTTTCTATACAAGGGTAAAATTTAAAAAAAAATCTTAATCTTTTGAAGTTGTTTATATAGACATTTGAAATTGGTTATTTCACAAAAATATGAAGTCAATCCCCCCACCATGGAATAGTTCATAATTTAATGGTTAGATATATGCACCGATTACATACCTAGGTATAATATATAATGTTATCACACATAGAAAACTGTTGTAGGTTCAACAAACAATTTGAGTTAATCTCATACACATTTGCACGTTATATTCCGACTAAGGTCGGTTTGGCAGGGGCGAACACAGGAGGGGGGGGGTATAGATGGGATTACCCAAATGGGTAGGTATTTTAATTGGTAATTTTATATAAATACAATTATTTTTTAAGCAAAAATTATGGTTTTGCAGACTAGGTATATAGTTTGAATAAAATAAGGTAAGTTTTATTTTATAAGCATTGTACAAAATATATCATAAACATAATTATAGGTATGTAAATAAAATAGGTATTAACACAATAATTCATCAATCATTGATAACATCAGTTCTTAATTAAAACAACCCTATTAAAAATGAAATAACAACAGCGCATTGCCAACTTAAAATCAAATCGCAGTTAATAAGAACGTTTTATTAGCTAGTTAAAATGAACAAATTATAATTGTGAAGATAATTACATTTCATGTCATTTCTAATGTATAAAGGTTTTATATTAATAAGTTGATATAATATTATGTATATTGTTATTTTAATATTGATTATAGTCAAACCATATTATGGTTTAAATATACTCCTGTTGGTGTTAATTCAAATCCAAAATTTGTATAATTAACAACTATACCGTCAACAACATTGTAAAAAGTTAAATCAACAATAGTATTTATGTGTACAAACATTGAATCTTAACTATATAATAACAACTTAAAGAATTTTTGTATATTTTTTTTTTACTTGGTGAGGGGGTTAGGAGGGGTAATTTTTCTGAGAACAAAAATTATATTTGAAAAAAAATAATATAATGTAATTAATATTAATATTAAATAATATCATGGTGATGGCGGCACGGTTTCATTAACCTTCCACATGGTAATTGATTAACGTACACTTATCGTCAAACATCTGGGTGGGCAGGTTGCACGAATCAGATGAGGTTGGGTTAGATACGCTCCCTTGAAAGCACGTGAAACACTGGTCGTTGCAAGGGCAAGCGGTATTGGGGCATACCCTTTCACAATAATCTTTGTTGTAGTACAGAGCGTTTCCATCATCGTCCTCTTCACAC